TACGCCAAGAATTCGCGCTGGACTGAAGGCCTCATCTCGGCCTCCAAGGCTGTGGGCTGGGGAGCCACACAGCTGGTGTAGGTTGCCCCGGGGGGGCGGGCAGGGGGCTGCTTTCTGCCAATGGGAACAGTTTTCGGGTCAGCAGGGTGCTGGGAGTAGAGGGGGTGTGGGGTGGCTCCAGCTGTCCATGGGGTCAGAGACCCTGGCCCTGACTGGCCCTCGCCCCTCAGGGAGGCGGCTGACAAGGTGGTACTTCACACGGGCAAGTATGAGGAGCTCATCGTCTGCTCCCATGAGATCGCAGCCAGCACGGCCCAACTGGTGGCAGCCTCCAAGGTGAGCCTGTGCACCAACAGTGACACACGCGGCTCTGGGCTCGGCTTGGCCTGGGGCTCCTTAACTGCTGGCTGTGGCTGCCAAGCTCAGGGCTGCTGCTGCCCTGAGCTGGGAGACCTGGGCCCACCCTGACCCCTCACCCCTCAGGTGAAGGCCGACAAGAACAGTCCCCACCTGAGCCGCCTGCAGGAATGTTCCCGCATGGTCAACGAGAGGGCCGCCAACGTGGTGGCCTCCACCAAGTCAGGCCAAGAGCAGATTGAGGACAGAGGTGAGTGCCAGGCGCCGAGGGGAGCTGCCGGTTCCTGAGGCTGAATACCCAGATGTTCACCTACTTGCCCTCTGGCCACAGACACCATGGACTTCTCTGGCCTGTCCCTCATCAAGCTGAAGAAGCAGGAGATGGAGACCCAGGTAGGTCCCCACAGCTGCCCCATGACCTCTGAGCTCATCCCTTGGGTGAAGCCTGGACCGGGAGAGGGCTCCGTGGGGAGGCTGCGCTGGGCTGGGCTGAGCAGGCCATGCGGCTGTAGGTGCGTGTCCTGGAGCTGGAGAAGACGCTGGATGCTGAACGCATGCGGCTGGGGGAGCTACGGAAGCAACACTACGTGCTGGCTGGGGCAGCAGGCAGCCCTGGAGAGGAGGCGGCTAGCCGGCCCAGCACTGTCCCCCGAAGTGTGGCCACCAAGAAACCGCCCCTGGCCCAGAAGCCCAGCGTGGCCCCCAGACAGGACCACCAGGTGCTGTGAGCACTGGGGTTGGGGGGCAGTTCCTGGAGGGGAGTGTCATCCCTGGCCCCAAAGGGGCACATGGTACACATCCCTGGAGAAGTCAGGAACCACTGATAAGCCCTAGTGACATAGCATGTAGGGAGGGGCTTGCTCAAGGGAGAGGTGGGGCCCCGGGAGCCTGGCCATCACCACTGAGCCCCTCACCTTTGACTCCTGCAGCTTGGCAAAAAGGATGGTATCTACTCAGCTCAACTCGTGAACTACTAGGCCCCGCGGGGGTTCAGCAGGGCGGCTGGTAGACAGGCCTGGGCCTCTGCAGCTGCCCTGACAGGGCCGAGGGGCCTCGCCCTCCACTCGGGGCCCAAGCCTGCCACCCCACTGCCCAGATCAGCGTCCTCAAGGTCCCTGGCCCTTACTGAGCCTGCAGGGGCCTGGGCCACGTGGGTGGTGCTTCTGGACGTCTCTGTCATCTGCAGAAGGAACTTTGGGGTACAACCAGGACCTAGTAGGTCTGAGCCTCAACTCTTCAGGAAATACAGAGAACGTTTTTAATATTCTGAGCTAGAGCTCTTCTTCCTACATTTCTAGTCAGCACACTGGGACACGGGGCCAGCACAGGGCTCCCTGCCTTCTGGACTAAGAGCCTGAGGTTGTGGATGGACAGAAGGTGCACAGCCCATGCTGGCTGACGGGACTGGGGTCCACCATCCTGCCTGTGGCCTTCTTGGGCACTGATTCCACCAGGCCCTCCAGCTGCGAGGCCTCTGCAGACCAGGCTCTGGGTGGGCTGGAGGAATGTCATCCATTACTCCTCAGGCCTGGCCCTCAGACTTCTGTAATGGGAGTCCCCAGGAGGTGGTCAGATGCTGGAATTGGCCGCTTTCTGGGGAACGAGGTGAGACAGTGGCCCAGCCCTGCCTTAGCTCCTGGAGTCCCATTTCCTGCTGGAATCTGCAGCCACCCCTATTTCCTGTTTTCCATTCCCCCGTTCTGGCTGTGCCCCACTGCCCACCTGGGGGGGTAGTTTCCAGCCCTTCGGAGAGTGGGACCTTGGCCCTAGGCCCTCCAGCTCAGCCAGAAACCCAGTTGCTGGACCAGGGCCCTCAGGGAGGGGACCCAGCAGCTAGAGTGAGCTTTGCCTGCCCACTGGATTTGAACAAATGTGTGTCCCTTGAGCCCGAGGGGAGTGGCAGGAGGGGTGGGACCAGGCTGGGAGGACAGACCAGCAGCTGTCATGCCCTCCTGCACCCCCAGCCCTTTAGCCGTTCGCCCTGTGCTCTGGAAAGGCTACCAAATACCGGCCAAGGTCAGGAGGAGCAAAAATGAGCCAGAAGGAGCAGCCCCTTGGCTTTGTATTAGCCTTTCCTCCTGTTGAAGTGTTCTGTTGGCAATAAAATGCACTTTGTGTCACTGATGCCCCAGAGGGGCTGTGCCTGGCTCTTCAGTCCTCCAGGGACATGTGTTCCCTTGTCAGGCCCTGGCCAGGTGCTGGGTTGGGGACCCCATCGTGTCTGCATTTAATCCTAGAGCACTCGGGACTGCAGAAAGACTCAGCACGGCTGTCACTGGCTGTGCGTGTCCGCCTTCCATCTCTGGGAGTTTTTACACAGGAGGACAAGAGCTAGCTGCCTCCACAGAGGCCACCTCCACTCCAGCCTCGATGCCCACAGCCTCCCTGGGGCTCCCAGCAGTTGCTGACCCCCTCCGTGTGTCTGAGACCATGCCTTAGTTGACAGTTCCTAAGTTAAGGTGGGGACCCTGACTCCCAGCTGGCCTGGACTTGAGCCTTGGCCACACACAGCCTTTCCACTTACCAGAAAACTGTAAGGATGTTTAGTCCCTGGGTGTGTGGCAGCCTCACTCAATCACCCACTTTCTGCAGGAGCACATGCCAGAGGGAAGGCTGAGGCGGGTGGGCTCACCCTGTACTACCTCCTGCCAAGATGACTGGCATTTATGGAGAAACAGGACAGGTAAGGTCGGGGGGAGATCAGGCCCCTTTGCTGGCTCCTGTATGGCCTCAGAGGAGCCTCCCACCTGTGCCCAGGTCTCCTGGAGGATGAAGTGGGGCCTTTTGGCTTGGGCTGTGTAGCCAGGGGTGCTGTGCCAGGTGGCTAGGACTGTATGTGTGAAAGGGCTTTGCAAACTGACCATGAGGGCCGAGACCGACCCTGTTCCTGGGTCTTGTTTATATAGTGACATGGCTTCAGAAAACACAAAAAGAACTGATTCTCCCCCAGATACAGACCAAAGTCTGCAGGCACTGACACTTGACTGATCATTCTTGAGTCCTCAATGACCAAACCTTTTTTTTTGGGTGGGGGGAGACAGTCTTGCTCTGTTGCCCAGGTGGGAGTGCAGTGGCACTGACTCACTGCAACCTCTTCCCAGGTTCAAGCGATTCTCCCTCAGCCTCCCAAATAACTGGGATTACAGGCGTGTGCCACTACGCCTAATTCTTTTTGTTTTGTATTTTTAGTAGAAATACGGTTTTGCCATGTTGGCCAGGCTGGTCGCGAACTCCTGACCTCAAGTGATCCACCAAGTGTTGGAATTACAGGTCACTGCGCCCAGCTGAAACCTTTAACTGGAGAGGCCGCCTCACACATGCCGGGCTATAAAGCAGGAGCCTGGGGTCTGGTCTTGCTCCCCTGCCCTCTTGGACCCGCCACTGCCCCTCCCTGGTCATCCTTGTGAACGGGCCACACAGCGGGAGGAAAAGCTCCCACAAGCAAGGTTCATGAGCCACAAAACTGAAGTCCAGCATCCTCACTCGAGTGGACAACAGATTTAGCTGTAAGCTTCCTGGCAGCCACCGGGAAAAGAGAAACTATCACTTTTACTTTAAGGCAAACAGGTTTCTCAGGAAATGCTTCCCTCTTCCTCACAGAAGAACCACAGAAATTGCTGCTGCACATCCCCATAGACGATGATGTGCCAGGAATGGCAGCTTTTAGAGACAGCAACGGGAGCTTGCACTCATCTCAGTTCCTCAAGTCCCTCACAGGGCATCGCGACCCAGACACACAGCTCAGCTGCGGTGAAGACGCAGGCACACGCAGACGCAGACATGCAGCTTGGCCAGGATGGCAAGCACACGGGCATGGGCACACAGTGATGCAGGCACATAGCTCAACCAGGGCAGTGGGCACAGGGACATAGACATGCAGCTCAGCAGGGGCAGGGGGCACTCAGGGACGCGGCATGCACCTCGGCCGGGGCGGCAGGCACACAGGGACACAGACATGCAGCTCAGCAGGCGCATGGGGCACTCAGGGACGTGGGCATGCACCTTGGCCGGGGCGGCAGGCACACATAGACGCAGGCACATAGCCCAGCTGGCGCGGGGGGGCACATGGTGGACACAGACGCAGGCGCACAGCTCGGCTGGGATGGAGAGCACAGGGTACACTTCTGTAGCTCTCCCAGGAGGCAGCGCTGGCAGGATCCCCACCTCTCAGCCTAGAGAAGGAAGCAGCACCCACTGAGCTTTGGAGTGGGCAGAGGCAACTGCCTTTTTAAAACACCTGCTGGCAAGCACCCAAAGCAAAATGTCAGAGCCGCTGGTCCCCTCACCAAAACCCACCACAGAACATCCTAATGCGCTTACACCATTCACACAGCACATGGTGGCAACCTCAAGGACAAAGTGCAGGCACAGCCTGAGCCCCGAGGTCGCCTTCAGTCCCCTGCTTGGACAGTGGCTGTGATCCTGAAGACATGCTCTCTTACACACAGGACTTTCTGTCCATCACTGCTGTTTATGAGACTCTGGTGACAAACCAAGAGGGTAAGAGGCCCCGCCTTTGAGCCAGGGATCCCGGACAGGCAGAGATCCCAGCCAGCTTCCCTGCTGGAATTTTGATCACTGATGTTTCAGAACCACACACATCATGAACATCCACACCCCCAAGTAAATAAATGACAGGCCTGTTATTAATAATTCTCTATTTATTAAAAAGGGTCCTACAGCTTTACAGCCACAGCACCGGACACGGCCCTGAACAGCGACGGCGAGCCCAGCCAGGGGCCCCTTCGCAACGCATTTGGCTGCGACCGTGGCTGGGCTGTGGCATCCCTGACAGCGGCTGGTGGTGGAGGTATGGGGCGGGTGGCACCGCTCACTGGAGATTCACAGAACATGGCAAGCCTGCCTGACTGGCGTGGCAGTGAATCATCCTACACAACTTCATTTCCTTTAAGAAAACGGTTACAGTAGAGTTCAAGTCCGAGAGCAGGAATATAGTCATTGAGGACAAAAGGCAGTGGCCTGGACCGTGGCCCACTGGGACAGACCCCACTTCAGTTCTGCCTTGTCACCCTGGTGGCTAGGCACAGGTCAGGGCCCTAGATGCCTGACAAGTGACAGGGGAGGGGTGACCCAGAAGGTCCACGGGTAAGCACCTGGGCCTTTTCTGTCAACAGATGCCGCTGCCCACTGCTGGGCCCTAGGCCTTCAGCACATGTGGCACGTGAAGATGAGGTTCCACGGGGGTGGGGAGAAGAGCAGGTCCAGGTGGTTGGAGCACAGCCCCGCCCCTCAATCCCGTGGGGTGGGCTTTCTCCAAATCTTTACCACCACCGCCCTGAGGCCCAGCTACTAGCCAGCCAGGGGCAGAAGATACTGGCTAAGGATAGCCTGGGTCAAGGCAGCCGGACATCTTGACCACATGTAATAGGGCAATGAACTTGGACAAGCCCTTCAGAGAAAGCAGAGCCGCCAGGGGCCCTGCCCAGCCCCTAGCAGGTGTGAGTCCTGGCACCTGGGGAACTAAGGCACAGCACGGACACCCGAGGGTAGGAAATCGCATCCGCTTCATCTGCATTTCAATCTGCTCAAGACAATATTTGCATTTTTTATAAAATTTCCCTGAATGGTCTTGGGAGTGTCAAAAAATTTTCTTTTTCAATATAAAACAGGAAAATCACACATGTAGTAAAAATATTGGGGGATTATTTCTTCATAGAAACCTTCGGGGCCGGCTCGAGGCAGGAGGGAGAGAAGCAGCTGGGGACACGATTTGCTGTGCAAAGTCCCGCTCGTGCGGTCCCCTCTCACACCGGTGGCCATTCTCCAGCCTCTGGACTCGGCAGTGGGCCCAGTGCAAACTTTGCTTGTGGCTCTGAAGCAAGAGCAGCAGCCAGGTCAGGCGGTGACTGTGATGACCTCTCCCCAACAGATTCAGTGAGCAACAACACAGCTGCAGATGGCAGCCGGCCACAGCACTCTTCCAGGCTGGCTGGCGCCCACCCACCCTCACCAGGGCTGCAGCGGCCACTGGGTGAGACACACATGACTGTTTTTTGAAAATAAAATAAGTATCATGAACCATGCTCATTAAATAAAGCTGCAATGGGAGGACCACGATTCTAAAAGGGAATGAGGGAAGACGCTTTGTCTCTTCCCAAACATGAGTTCGTCAACACTAAGATACTTAGACATCACACAGAGAATGCAAACCGATGCGACGCGCGGGTGTCAGGCGGCGACCCGGCACACACAACTGCCTCGGTGCCCAAAACCTGGGCTTCTACTACTCACCACTGACCTACAGTTCTAAAACCAGATAGACACGCTGGCCCAGGGCCCTGGAGCCCTTGGCACAGAGCAGACCTCCAGCCTCCCTCCCATCTGCAGAGCGCAGCACAGCAGGCGGAGGGTCTCCCAGGAAGGACGGCTCTGGTGCTCACTGGAGGATGAAGCCCGGCTGGTGCGGAGGCAGCCGGGGCGGGGGTCTCTGAGGGAGAGCTGGTGGATACGGGGACACGAACTGTGCAGAGAATCCTTGCTGAGTGGGGAGCCCCACACGCGGGGGCAAGGGCGGACACTGTAATCCTGGGTACGGCACAGCCTGTCCCGAGGCCATGGCCGTGGTGAATGGGGTGGCTAGGCGAACTGCAGGCACCGGGGGTGGTGGGGGGGGGATGCGTCGAGGCGCAACAGCGGGGGGCCCACTGGCCTCTGGGGCAGAGTAGGGAAGGGGGGCAGTAGGTGCCTGCTCGGGCAGCCTGGGTGGCAGCGGGGCCAAAGCCTGTGGGAGTCTCTGCCCCTTCAGCACCATCTCCTGGAGCTTCTCAATTTTCACCCGTCGCATGTGGGCCAGTTTCCGTTTGCTCTGATAGACATCAATGAAGGAATCCAGAGGAAGTTCTCCATCCAGAAACTTCTCTGCCATGTTCTGAAAAAGGCAGAAACCTGGTTACAGCAACAGACAAATGGGGAGGACGCTCCCTTCATGTCTAGGCACAAGGACAGGCAACGCCCAGCTGCTTCCAACACCACCCCTCCCTCTAACCTCCAGAGGGCCCCACTCCTACTCCAGATCCCAGAGGTCATGGGCTCAGGCTGACCTCAGCACAAGCTGCCACCAGGTGGAGCGGAGGGCAGTCCTGCTGCGCACACCACCACCAGCGCAACAGGCAGAGGCCCAGGAGGAGCTGGCCTTTGGGTGAGGGTCCCAACTCCTGGGTTCCAGGCCTCTCTTGAGCCCGCTGGAGTCCAACATCCCCTTGCCTTCACCCAGCCACACTCTGACTGGCAGACTCGCCCTGGGTGGGTCAGCAGGACAGAAACGCCTGTGCCCGCCAGGCCCCGCCAAGGCCTCAGTTCATCAAACCCAGCCCTATCTTGGCAAGATCCTGCCGGCCCAGCCTGCAACTGTGCAACATTCGACCTTGACTTGTTTCCTTATCACCTGGCAAGGCTAAAGGCTCTAGTGCACAGTTGGACCTGTCCCAGAGGCTCTGTAGCCCCCAGCTCACGCACGAACCATGGCACGTGGTGATTTGCCACTGGTCCCAGGGGCTGGGGTTCACAGGGTGGCACGCATGCCCTCTCTTGACCCTCCCTCAACCCTGCCCTCACTCCCCTTGCTGCTCCCTGGACCCCAGCCTGGCACTTTCCCCAGCCCACACGCCAGGCTTCCTGCTGGCATGCAGCCAGGTGGCACCACCTAGGAGGCACCACCTCCTGACTCTGCCGGTGCAGCACTCCTGGTTTCTGGAGACAGTGGGCCCACTGACAGCCCAAAGTGACTCAAGGATTCCACCAAGGCTGGCTGGCTTTACCTCGGTGTCTTCCTCAATCTTCGCCCCTTCTGCTTGAAGAAGTGCTAACAGGGTCTCCAAGGAAGCACTGCTAGACTGTCTGTCTGGAAGAGAAGCAAGAGGCATGAAAGAGTAAGGGAGGCTGGGCGCGGTGGCTCAAGCCTGTAATCCCAGCACTTTGGGAGGCCGAGGCGGGTGGATCACGAGGTCAAGAGATCGAGACCATCCTGGTCAATATGGTGAAACCCCGTCTCTACTAAAAATACAAAAAATTAGCTGGGCATGGTGGTGCGTGCCTGTAATCCCAGCTACTCAGGAGGCTGAGGCAGGAGAATTGCCTGAACCCAGGAGGCGGAGGTTGCGGTGAGCCGAGATCGCGCCATTGCACTCCAGCCTGGGCAACACGAGTGAAACTCTGTCTCAAAAAAAAAAAAAAAAAAAAGAGTAAGGGGTGTCCAGGTAAAGCCCTTCACAACGCCGCCCACACAGACCACAGTAGGATCGCATCTTCCTTTCCAGGAAGCTGATGCCTGAAAACCTACAAGGGAACAAGTGCACTGAGCCAGTGCCTGGAGTCAACATCCCATGTCGGCGCACCCCCGGGGTTAGCGGCTGCCCAGAGCCAGCTGCTTCCGAATATGGAGCAGTGACAGGGCCATCATGCCACTTTGTATTTCCTTTACGTTTTGAGTGATAACTTACATCGAGTGTACACATCTTAACTGTGTAACTCAAATTTCCATGTGTTTAACCCCCAACCACCACCACTCTGATTCAGACAAAGAACGTTTCCTCCGGACACCATCATGCCCGCTGCACCTATGTAACCCCTATGCTGGCCTCCACCACCACAGAGGAGCTCCGCCTGGTCTTGAACTGACATCCTGCAATAAGGCAGTATAGGACATACTCTGCTGGATCCTTCCACTCAGCACTGCGTGTCTGACACCCTGGCTCTGGTCGGTGTATCAGTTCATGTCTGTTCAATGCTGTGTAGTGTTCCATTGTATAAATATACTTTATTTGCCCATCACTCTGTAGATGGACATTTTAATTGTTTCCAAATTTTAAGTAAGGTAATAAAGATACAACATTCTTGTACCTATCTTCTGAGACATGAATGTCCATTGCTTTTGGGTGAACACTCAGGACCAGAGCCGCTGACCTGCAGCGTATGCACACTCCTAATTTTAGAAGGTACTACCCAACAACTTTCTCCAGGTGAAACGGAAAAGGAGCCGGCTGCAGTGGCGCGCTCTAAGTCCCAAATGACCCAGGGACACTCCTACCAGCAGCAAATGCATGGCACCTCCCCAGCACTTGCAACTGCTGGTCTTTCTACTTTAGGTCATCCTGGTTTGGGTGTGTGGCAGTACATTTTTAATAAAGTTAATGGAGAAGATGACAAGATGATAGCAATAGTGACAGACATCGCTGCTGCAGAAGGTGATTTTTTCACCCAAATTCTTTTTTTTTTTTTTTTTTTTAAGGGATGGGGTCTCACTCTGTCACCCAGGCTGAAGTACAGTGATGCAATCACAGCTCATGGTGGCCTCAACCTTCAGGGTAGGTGGGACTATAGACGACTAGCACTACTCCTGGCTAATTTATTTCATTTCTTTGTAGAGACATAGTCTTGCTCTGTCACCCAGGCTGGAGTACAGGGGTGCAATCATAGCTCACTGCAGCTTCAACCTCCAAAGCTCAAGCAATCCTCCCTCCTCAGCCTCCCAAGAAGCTAGGACCACAGGCATGTGCCACCACACTCAGCTCCAACTTCCCTTTTTCTAAATGTCCCTTTCATAGCTATCAAAAGCACTCAGCATGCTCAACGATATTCAATTTTGATGTCTCCTCCTAGTGGCTGTAAATTAAAGTGTGCCATTAAAGTGTTCCAGTGATGGGTGTTTTTCACCATTAACAAACAGCATAAGACAAATGGGCATACAGCATAAGAGATTTGTTGAATATTGTACTTCTGAAAACTGCTTTCTTTCTATGCTGTTTAGAGAAGGTGGAGTCTTGAATTTTAAGAGTGGTTAACCCTCCTCTTCTAAGCTGGTGACTGCTGAACTGGCTGGCTTCCTCCTAATCCCCAACCCCTTTTCCAGTAACTGCCCCGAGGTGCCCACGTTGCTGCCACCTGCTCCACGCTGCAGAACCTGGAGGTGTGCATGGGCCTGGGCTGACCTCCGCAGCCACCGCCACTGCAGGGCCACTGGGAGGAGGGGGCAGTCCTGCTATGCACCTCGTCCTTCAGAACTGCAAGTGCAGAGAGGCTGCAGGTCTGGGGCTTCCATATTATATACATAAACTGGTCAATACAGTGGCTCCCGTCTACAAGAGCAGTGCTTTGTGAGGCCAAGGCAGGAGGATGGCTTCTTGAGTTCAAGACCAGCCTGGGCAACACAGCAAGATGACCTCTCTACAGAAAAATGAAATAAAGTAGCTGGCTTGGGGTAATGCACACCCGTAGTCCCAGCTACTCAGGAGGCTGAGGCGGGAGGATCACCTAAGCCCAGGAGGTCGAATGGCTGCAGTGAGCCATGGTCATGCCACTGCACTCCAGCCTCAGTGACGGAGCAGGACCCTGTCTCTAAAATAAAAAAATAATATACATATTTCAATGACTCTACTTCATTGCAGTGGAGTCACTGTTTTAATCTGAAATTTTTCCTTAATATTTCTCTCCTGGCAGGGCAATAGCTTGAAAATGTGTCCTTCTCTCAACTCTTTATTCTTGAATGATAACCCATAAAAAGTTACCTAATTTGGTCTTCTTTATCTGATAGGCTTCAAAGAGAACCTGGAGTTCCTGGTATTTCTGGGTCAAGTGTGCTTTCAACGTGTCCAGCTGCGGCTGGTAGAGAAGGTTTCCTTCTGCCAGGCTCCGGTTGCTGGCAAGTGTCATTTCTTTGTTAAGCTGAACATTCTGTGTCTGCAAGGAACACACAAGATGGTGAGAAACGAAAGTCTATCAGTTCCCAGGCAGACCCTGGAGGTCCCCACACGCACCCCAGGAGCCTGCTGCATCTGCTGCTGCCTCACTGGTCTCCACGGCTGGCACCGCATGCCAAGCAGATGCTACAGACCCAGAGCCAAGACCCCTGGTTTCTCATTTGGATGCTGCTACCCATCGTAAAGAGTGAGGCTGACTTCCTTCCAGCACGTTTCCAGGACAGGCTTTGTCCTGTGACTCCATGCAGAGCCCTCCCTGCCAGGGCTGCACTGTGACTCGAGCTCCTTACCACAGCCATTGTGCTTGCAGAAATAAACAGCTGTCACAATTAAGAATTCGATTTTTTTCAAAACAAGTTTCTGCTGCTCCAGAGGAAGTTAAAGAATCACTTTTATCAGCAGGAGACCAGTTGGCATGATGTCAATGCAGGCTCCATAAGCTGGCTTAGAGGTCCAACCAGCAAGCCGAAGAGACCCTGGGAATTAACTGTTTCCAGCTACTCTGGTTCTCTCCCATGCCCATCCCAGCTCTTCGGAGCCTTCCATCATCTAGCTGTTGGTGGATGAGCAAAGCCGACCAAAAGCTGGGGGAAGGGGAGACGTATTTTGCCCAGCAGGGGTTTCATTTTGCCCTTTCAAGCAATGACAGGCTACACTGGTAGGCAGAAAAGAATCCGTCTGCCCAAAACTTAGGGGATAAAGAAAGAAGTGGAAGGTCTGAGAAAAAAGGCAAAAAACTCCTAGCAAAACTTAGCCAGAGTATGTTTAAAGAAAATAAAAGCCACAAACGCATCGGTACCCTAGTTCCCTTTCCACTCACTCGTGATCGGCTTCCTCTACCACAGCCTAGCCGCCGCTGCCTTCCGTACTGTTTCAACAGCACTTGATTCCTTACCCAGTGTGTGTCCCCATTTCTCTTTAAGCAGCTCTTCTTCAACTCCACCCCAGGCATCTCATTTTCCCCTTAATATTTTCTACCACCCCACCCAATCTATTTTTGCTGCTACTTCCTTCCTCTTGGTAGCTCAAGTATAGATTCCTGGCCATGCTGCCTCCGCTCCCCACCCCCAGTCATACCCACTTATTGCTGTCATAGTTCCCAGTGCGATCACAGAAGTGCACACGCACCATACACACAGGGAAGAGGCTCAGGGAATCGGAGAACAAAGAAAGAAGCCCTTGGATCCCTGCCTCAATGAGGAGATCCCTAACGCCAGTAGGAGGCTCCTTTCATTTCAGCAGACAGTGATCTGCATCTCCAGACCGACAGCTTCACACAAGACCCTAAAGATCAGGCTCCGTTGAAAACCGACAGGATTTACATGACAGTGGAAAAGCAAACCTCTCTCTCCAGACTACAAAGTAAAAGCCAACAGTGTTCCCGAAACGTGGGCGGTAGAAATGCTTTCATGTCTTCTGATGCTTTTAACAAAAAAGGAGACTCTTGGGACTGGAAAGACCCAGTTTCACCGGGGTTCTGGTAAGCAGTGGGGCTCCCGTCACCCGCTTCCCCACCCACAGGGCGGGTCTCCATGGGCTTTCTATGTCAGGCCCTGCAGAAGCATCTTTCCTTCCATTGTTAAGCCATTTAAAAGAACAAACAAAAACCACCGTATGGCCACTCTGGAAAACAGGCACTTTTTAATGAGGCTGAATCTGTAAGTACCCTATGATCCAGAAATTGTGCTCTTAGGCATTTATCCCAGACAAATGAAAACTTACGTTCAACAAAAACCTGCACATGACTGTTGAGAGCAACATTTATTCCTAACAATTAAAAGCTAGACGCAGCCCAGGTGTCTCTCAACAGGTGAATGGTTAAACAAGCAGTGGGCCAGCCAAGCCACAAAATACCACTCAGCAATAAAAGGAACAAACTTGACTGGCGGAACTGATAACGCTCCAGGGATTCACACTAAGTGAAAACAGTCAACCCCAAAGGGCCATCCACCCACGACCCTGTGCACACAACATCCTTGAAATACAAAATCACAAAAATGGAGAACAGATTAGCGGCGTGTGTGTGACTATAAAAAGGCAATGAAGGGTTAGGGTCTGAGCTGTCCTGATGTTCTGTGTCCTGGCAGTATCAGTGCCCCGAGCCTGGTGCTGAGAGTGCACTGAATTTTACCAGATGTCACCGCTGGGGGCGGCTGGGAGGAGGGGACACAGGATCTCTCTGTATTATCTCTTACAACTGCATGTGAAACTACCAGTATCTCAAAATAAGTTAACCATAAATACAACCACCAGCCACTGCTGAGCTGGCTTTCTCCTGCTGGTCTCACCTGATGGATGAGGAGGGGCACGTGTTCCAGGCTGCACTCAGGCCCCACAGCTCTGTGCGCTCCAGCATTCTTACTTCAATCAATTCTTTGTTCAATAAATGTTTACTGAGCAAGTATCATCTGCCATGCCTGGGTTTAGGCACCGGGAATTCTGAGAAACAGGAGTGCGCCCACCCTCAAATAAACTGAGTCAACATAAATGGACCCAAACTCATCAGCCCTGATCTGTGAGGCCCCAAATGGCCTGGTCCCCACCGTCCCTTCCCGGTCAGTTCTGAGAAATCAGGTCCCTGACCATCCTGCCTACACCAGCAGCCATCCTCTGTCAGCACCCACTTCCATGTCATCGTAACTGTCAACTCTGTTGTCTCAATCACTGTCTGTCTCCCAACACTGAATACAGAGGACACACTTGTCGTCTTTAGCATCCCAAGCACTTTGCACACATCTGCCACTCAGTGAAGATCTGTTGAATGAATCAGAGAGCCCCCCAACCCTAAAAAGCCAAAACTCACTCAAAGCCAAGCCTGGCAAATAAGGGAGGTAACAAACTGGAGGAATTAAAAACAAGCTACATTTGTCTAGTGCTGAGTGCCTCAGATCCTTAGAAGCACTCACTTCAGAGAGTCACTAGAGACTGAGTCTGAGTGAGGGTCTCACACCAGACCTCACGGTAATTTTGAAACAGAATTTCCTCAAAAGTCCTCAGTCAAGGTAGCACACAGCAAGTGCAGGCCTCCCCACAACCACTAGAAAGGCGCACTCAAGTCAGCACCGACATTCCAGCAGGCAGCCTGGACTACTACACAGTAGTCTCAGCCTTGGTTGTGCCTTACCATCCCCATTTATTTGGGAGTATGGGGGCTGCTGTTAAAAATTTCAATGCCCAGGCTGGGCGCAGTGACTTAAGCCTGTAATCCCAGCACTTTGAGAGGCAAGGTGGGCAGATCACAAGATCAGGAGATCGAGACCAGCCTGACCAACATGATGAAACCACATCTTTACCAAAAATACAAATATTAGCCAGGCGTGATGGTGTGCACCTGTAGTCCCACCTACTTGGAAGGCTGAGGCAGGAGAATTGCTTGAACCCGGGAGGCGGAGGTTGCAGTGAGCTGAGATCACGCCACTGCACTCCTGCCTGGGTGACAGAGCAAGACTCTGTCTCAAAAAAAAAATCTCAATGCCCAGACCAACCCCTACCCATCAAGCTCTTCAGGAGGGGGCCGAGGTATGGATATTGTCTTCAAAACTCCCTGGTGATACATACCGCTAAGCTGAAAACTTTTGGTTTAGTTTCACCATAAAAATATATCTACAAAGAAAATCTTATTTCCGTAGGGTTTAAGTCAAGTCAAAATCATTTGTCCTACATATTAGAAAGTCCTAGAAGAGAGGAACACAAGGAAGCATGAACTATAATAAAAAGACAACTCATTTGTCCACATTTCTGGGTTCTGGGGGAAAAAAGACAATTTGTTCTGTATGGGATGCAGAAAGCCACCAGGCATCAAAAGAGGCCAAATAAAACACTGAGGCTGGGTGCAGTGGCTCACACCTGTAATCCCAGCACTTTGGATCATTTGAGGTTGGGAGTTCGAGTCCAGCCAGATCAACATGGAGAAACCGTGTCTCTACTAAAAAAACAAAATTAGCCGGGCATGGTGGCACATGCCTGTAAAATCCCAGCTACTCAGGAGGCTGAGGCAGGAGAATTGCTTGAAACTGGGGAGGCGGAGGTTGCAGTGAGCTGAGACCACAGTGAGCCGAGATCGTGCTATTGCACTCCATTCACCCTGGGCAACAAGAACAAAACTCCATCTCAAAAAAAAAAAAACTCCCACTGAGAAGTGTTAAACTGGCAGTGATTTTTTAATATCCTTTGGATATTCAGATGTTTTTATATATAAATATGATAAATTCTTTTTTTTTTTTTTTTTTTTTTTGAGACAAGAGTCTCACTGTGTCACTCAGGCTGGAGTGCAATGGTGTGATCTTAGCTTACCGAAGCCTCTGCCTCGTGGATTCAAGCGATTCTTGTGCCTCAGCCTCCCCAGTAGCAGGGATTACAGGCGTGCACCCTGCCTGGCTAAATTTTTTTGGGTTTTTTTTTAGTAGAAACGAGGTTTTGCCCACATTGGCCAGGCTGGTCTTGATCTCCTGACCTCAAGAGATCCACCCGCCTCAGCCTCCCAAAGTGCTGGGATTACAAGCATGAGCCACCACGCCCAGACAAATACAGTAAATTCTAAGTGGCCACCCAGACCATACCCACAGCACCCTGCAGAACAATGGTAGTGGGGACAATGGTCCGGTTGCAGATGCTGAAGGTGGATGTCTTTTCTTAAGCATTGGCTAAAACTCTTCAGCACTCATAGCCTGCCCAGAACACACCCTGGATGCTGCATTTAATGTAGAAACTCTTTCTTCAATCTTTCCGTTGTTCCAGTTGGGAATAAAAGGGGAGGAGAAACACCAGCCTTGTTCATTTGCAAAGCAAAGGCAAGCTGGCCAGGACAGGCCTGGAAGGCCTCCACGGGAACAGCACACACCACTCAGCAAGGCCCAGGTGGCAGCCACTCCGGCCACATACGCCCGACTCTCCACCCCTCTGAGACTGATTCCAGCCTAATGTCTGTGACCAAATCTGTACAGTAAATCTGAGAATGCTTAGGGAGGTATTTTAGGAAGCAACAGACTAAACCAACAAACAAAAATTTAAGTTGCCACTATGTTTGTCTTCATGGTAGGCACGAACAGATACCTGAAATTGAAAACAGTGCTGCCAACCTCTTGATCGTTCTCATGATCCTTTTTCTTAACCATAGAAAAGTCTTTTCAGGAAATAATCTCTCTGTGGTAAAGAAACATTCTTATAAATTTACTCAGTTTCACTTCAGTTTCCACTTCTCATAAGTGAAGAAAAATGAGATGCCCAATAGCAGCAATTGTAGTAGGATCCGGCTTGTAACAACTTATTTCTGTCACCTATCTGTGCATAAGTGCAGAGGGCTCCCTGGAAGCATGCTCACCCCAGGGTAACAGCAGCAGCCCCTGAGTGGTGTGATTTTTTTTCTACTTTCCGTTTTCTACTTTTAACAATCATTATAGCAAGCGCACATAACTTTGTAGTAAAAGGGTTTTTTTTAAGTTAAAAAAGTATCATATATACTTATCCAGGCAGAAATGTGGAGGTCTCTCTCTTGAGATGCCTACATTAATATATGTAGCTCTCTCAGAACACGCAGTCTGGCTGGGCGCGGTGGCTAACACCTATAATCCCAGCACTTTGGGAGGCCAAGGCGGGCAGATCACTTGAGGTCAGGAGTTTGAGACCAGCCTAGCCAAAACAATGAAACCCCGCCTCTACTAAAAATACAAAAAAAATTAGCCAGATGTGGTGGCAGGCGCCTATAATCCCAGCCACTGGGGAGGCTCACACAAGAATCGCTTGAATCTGGGAGGCGGAGGTTGCGGTGAGCCAAGATTGCGCCACTGCACTTCAGCCTGGGCGACAGAGTAAGACTCCATCTCAAAAAAAAAAAAAAAGAATACCACACACTATCTCAAATGCACGTCATTATTTATTTGGGCTGGGGGAGTGTGGTAGAAAATAAACTCAACAAGAAAGAAAAGAGATCTACACTCCCCTCTGCACATCCATAGCTGCAAAGGAGAGGCACCCAGGGCAGAAGCAGGGATGGGAGACCGCCTGCAGCTCTGCGGCCAGTGCTAGGTCAAGGGTGTAGGTTTCCGGTGGATGCTTTCCAGACCAGACACTTCTACAATGTGAAATTCTGATTCCAGCTGGCCAGAGTCTAGCTTCTTCATCTGTAATTATAATTGTGCCTTCCTAAACACAAAGGCAGACAAATCTGCCCACATTTCCAAGCTAAATCTTCTTCATGAAAAGATACTCATAGCAGTTCTTTTTCACCCCTTCAGACTATAATATAATCCTTATAAAAACTAAGTAAGTGACATGACTGAATTAGGTTAGCAAACTTAAACCAATACATGGGAATCCTTAATAGCACCGTAAGTCCTTTAAATGCTCAAAATCCAGTGTGTACTTGGAATCTGGGCTGTGTTAGGATAAAAACAAAATATGTCCGCATCTACAGCATTCTCAGAAGGCATAGTATTTATGCAAAGTAAAGAAATCACATTTTATTTAACAAGCAAACTTTATTGTAATTTTTAATTTTTTTTTTTTTGAGATGGAGTTTCGCTCGTTACCCAGGCTGGAGTGCAATGGCGCGATCTCGGCTCACCGCAACCTCCGCCTCCTGGGTTCAGGCAATTCTCCTGCCTCAGCCTCCTGAGTAGCTGGGATTACAGGCACGCACCACCATGCCCAGCTAATTTTTTGTATTTTTAGTAGAGACGGGGTTTCACCATGTTGACCAGGATGGTCTCGATCTCTTGACCTCGTGATCCACCCACCTCGGCCTCCCAAAGTGCTGGGATTACAGGCTTGAGCCACCGCGCCCGGCCTGTAATTTTTAATTTTTTGAGACAGGGTCTTGTTCCATTGCTCAGGCTGGAATGCAGTGGTGCAATCATGGCTCACTGCAGCCTTGATCTCCTGAGCTCAAGCGATCCTCTCGCCTCAGCCTCCCAAACTGCTGGGATTACAGCCGTGAGCCACTGCGCCCAGCCACAAGCAAGTATTTTGTTAAACGACAAGCATTAGGTACAGAAAGATAAAATGCTCTTCCCGCCAAGACTCTGCTCACACTGGCTATTTAGTCTGGAACGCCCTCCTACCCAAATCTCTGCTGCAAACTCCACCCTAACCGAAGCCTTAGCAATGGCAGAGCCTTCTCTAAACTTCCCCCAGCCCCACCAACACCACATGGAGCTAGATCCTCAGTGGTGGGCATCCCCTGACGCCCTGCTTGATTGAGATACAATCCACACCTCCTACAATCCATCTACTGGAAACATTCCACTCAAGGGTGTCTCATATATTCACAGAGTACACCTCTGGCTTCACTGTATTCACACTGTATCCCTCTGTGTTTTTTTGTTCATCTATTTATTCACACACGAGAGAGCCACATGAAGATGGGGGCAGCACGATGTGGTCACAAGCCTGGGACGCCAGCACACAGAAGGGGGAAGCAGCAAGGAAGAGTCCTCCTCTAGAGCTTCCAGAGGGAACAGGGCATCCTGATTTTGGACTTCTGGAGTTCAGAACTGTGACAGAATAAGTTTCTGTTGTTTTAAGCCACCCAGCTTGTGGTCATGTTACAGTAGCCACAGGAAACTAGTACAGTGCTAGAATCTTCCACCCGTTTTTGAGAACCACTGTCTATCCTGCTCTGTGCCCCAGCAACCACCTAGATGAGCTATACCAACCCTTCGCTGGGACTCACCCTCAGGTTCTGGTTGGATTCAGCAATGAGGATCAAGGGCAGGAGGAAGATGAAAAGGGACCGTGGGGATCAGGAGTGTTCCCCAGGCCTGGCTGAGGAGGGGCCAACTCCTCTTGCCCTCCCTTCCTCCAACGCAGCCCACTCCCCTGCCCCTCCTCAGGCGTGGAAGTGAGCAGGGCATGGCTGTTGCTAATCCTGCACCAGGCTTTGGGGGTCTCCACGCTGCCCTCTCCTTGTAGAGAATCCCTTATTCAACTCCTCGACAATCCCTCATGCTGCTTGTGCCATGTCTTGCCAGAAGCCTGACTGAGATAGCTGGAACGGTTTATCCCATGAAGTGAAATGACATTTGAACCCACATCGCTCTTTTGATGGTGACCATAAAGGCCCTTAAGAGCAGAACCTAATCATTCCCCTGTGCCCAGAACCTAGCATAGTAGCCAGGCCAACACAGGCACATAGCTAAATACTTGCTTGGCTTAGTGCAGTGGCTCACGCCTCTAATCCTAGCACTTGGAGAGACCAAGGTGGGCGGATCACCTGAGGTCAGGCGTTTGAGACC